AAGATGTGGGTGATAATTTTTTGTTTTCAGAGAGATTGAGGTTTTTTTTTGGATTTATAGTTCTATTGTTGCCATTATTTTTGGTTTTTCTGTCAATCAATGTGAATGTTCACATTTCATATTATTTGGAAGTTTAAGAAATGAGTGTTGGAATTGTGAAGAATGAGGTCTCTAATACAGTAATGTAGCTTTCTTTGTAAAAAGATGAGGAGTGTTTGGTTTGATTTGGATTACTGTAATGGTGGAATTGTAGGAGGTGTTAATAATAGTGATAATGATGAAGATGGAGATGAAAATTATGAAGATACAAAGGAGGATTTGTGTGATTTTTTTTTATTTTTTGAGAGATTGAGATTTTTTAATTTATGATTATGTTATTGTCATTGATTTTTATTTTTTGTTATTGGATTTCAATGTAGCAATGATTTTTTGAGATTGGTAATGTGTCTTATATAAAAATAATGTAAATGTTCATATTATTAATCTGTGTTAATATTGATATTAATTTGAATTGAAAATTTGTCATTGTGTTATCAATTGGTGTTAATATTATTCACACACCAATATAATATTGAATGGTAAATACAATGTGAATATTTACATCTGTAATCAACTATAATAAACATAGAACATAATGTGATAGAAAATGAACCTCAACATAATTACGATGTGAACATTAACACCAACTTCAACATAAGAGATCAAATATGGATGTTCACACTTCATATTGTTTAGAACATTGTTTGGTCAACTGTCATTATGTGTAGTCAATATTCTTTTTTTGATATATTTGTGGATGAATCATACACCTTACATATGTAAAATGTGAATATTAACATCTAACATGTTTGTTCATGGGGTTGTACATTAATTAATGTATCATGTGAATATTAACATCTGTAGTCAACCACAGTATGATGTGAATATTCACAATGTAATAAATAGATGTGAAGATTCACATTAATTCTAATATATTTGTGCATAGATCATACACGTAATTAATGTATAATGTACAACAACTGTCACAACATTGTCTGCTACAACGGTCCGACATGACCCCATAAACTGTCTTCTACATCGGTCTGCCATAACCATACAGTCTTCTACAACGGTCTGACACGACCATACAGTGTCTCCTATCCTCTTTTATTTTATGTATTCGTCTATTTTCTTGTTTTGTTAGTCTTTCCAAACTCAAGTTGGTTAGTTCCTATCCCCCTTGAGTTTGCGGGAGGCTGTTAAAATGTACCAAACCTACCCACTACACCTACTCCACCCACTTCACCTACTCCACCTACTACTACCACCTACTACATACCTACCACTACCACCTACTCCACTACATCTCCTATATAAGGAGCCCCTCACCATTTATAAAAAACAACATACATCAATCAATAATATACATCAATTTATTTTACAGAAATTGAAGAATAGGAAGATATATATTGAGAGGTGTATGAATAAATTGTTTTAAGCCACTAACAGTCATGTGATTATGAGATTTGTACTTATTGACTTCTCCATTTGATATTATTCCACTAATGAATAAGTATTAAATTCTTCTGCTTTCTTATGGGTAATATTTGGTTGCTTCTCAGGAAGGTTGCCACACTTTTAGAGGAGGGTTCTGGAATTACTTCAGTATGGGTAAGTGTTTTTTGGCCAATGTGTAACCCCACTGGTACTCTACTAGGTTGTGTTGTTTATTCCTAGCAATCACCTTATTTGTCACTTCAAAAGCTTTTTGCAATTATGCTTAGTTTTCTGTCATAAGATCTTCTTATCATTGATGTAGTTGCTGCCTTGGGGTAAAAACCAAACCTAAAACTTATTCATTTCTTGCCAGCTTTTGGGCATGCCTGTACATCATATCAATGTAACAGGATAATATTGATGTGGTTCAGGGCTCAAGCCTAAATGAGGCCTAGCTTTTTGTAGAGTTTATGGTTATACATACACTCGAATAAATGTAGGATAGCAAGGGCTTAAAACTAGGAGCAGTGCCACATTCGAGCACCTGTAATTTTTATTTTTATTTTTTCATAGATGTAATTTACATTGTCGATGAGAGAATGTAATATCAAAATACAAAAATCTAAAATGAAAGATATTCAGGTTGTGGATCTTAGAACACTGAAATATCTAGTAGAATAAATCTACTTATCTCTTATGAGTTGCGAATTTGAAAATTGTAATATAAAGATATTTTTTGTCTTTTTATCATCTGCATTCGAAGTTTCATTTTTTCAATTATATTGCATAGTGAAAAGCCACATTGGGTTTCCATTTTATTTTAATTTGGTTCATGTTTACATTTCCCTTTTATTCTACAAACCCTTAGCTAGCATTGTGTTTTAAATTTGAGAGTTATTCTACAAACCCCTTGTAGTTTCTAATACTAGATCTTATTAAATTCCCTTTGCAGGTATGGATGCTCAAATATCCTATGCCTTTCATTCTGAGAGGAAGTTGCATCCAGAAAAATTCAAAAACCAGTTGGTTAATCAGGTAATGGATTGTTATATGCTTTATTTGCAACGTTGTCAGGATGTTGAGACTTCCTTTTTTAGTAAACCAAACTTTTTTTCAGTATGGAGTTTTGGATGAACTTTTTGAAGCATGCATTAACTAATTTGGTTAAATTAGTCTTCTGCCATATAAAAATCTCAAATTTCAATCTTGTCACCTTCATGATACCAGGCATTACATTTTTTAGCTCAACTTAAGGTATTTTGTGTATCTGATGTTGGGAGATTTAGTGTTATATGACAATCAAGCAATAAATTCTGCACATACGTGAGGATTTAGAGGTGGAAATGTGATTTCTTGTGCTTCAATGATATGGAGATAAATGTAGAATATGGTTACGTACTCTGGATTTGATAAATGTAAATTGGATTTGTCTCTTAAAGTATATGTTTCTACATAGTTATGAGCTTGGTCTTTGTAGTGAATAGATGCTACCTTTTGTTTTTGTTTTGTTCAGAGTACTTATGCAAAGCTTGTATGTACACAAGGATGGTTCATGGCTTCTCTCTTCCATCCTTCTTCGAGGTGAGTCATCATGACTGTATTGAGTATGTGCAAACTCTGATTTCTTTTTTTGGGACCTCTTGATGGCTAGTTTGAGTTACCTAGTTGAATTTGTTTGTTCTATTTTATTTAATTTTCTTCTATTCTTGAAATATGTCACCACAATCTCATGGCTTTTGTTAAAACCTACCATCACCTACTCACCTACTACACCTACCACCACCTACTACCACCTACTGCACACCTACCACTACCACCTACTACCACCTACTCCACTACATCTTCTATATAAGGAGCCCCTCACCATTTGTAATATACAACATACAACAATCAATAATACATCAATTTTGACATGGTATCAGAGCAGGTTTAGAACCTAATATTTTCCCTTCACCGGCGGGCGGCAACCTCACCTTAGCTGTCCGCCTGACCTCAACCTATTCCACTTATTTTCTACGCATACCTTCCCATCGTTGCCCTTGACCTCTCATTTTCATAGCCAAATCTCCTACAAATACAGAAAGATCTGAACCCGTATCCACACGCCTATCACCTGTGCTGAAGCCTGCCCAAGTTAGGCGGCGGAAGAGAAAACCTCGCCGGTGTGAGCGACGCAGGTGTTGACGTAGCATTCGTGCATCCATTGTTGCAGTTCACCGATCCAGATCATCCTCTTCTCTTCACTAGAAACTCTCTCGCTGCAAGCCTCGCCGGAGTCGCCACTGCCCTACCTCATCTTTGACGACATCGACACATACTCCGTCGACGACATCGCCATCCGAGGCTTCAACCCGACGTTACTCTCCCTGCTATCACAGGAATTTGTGCTCTCTGTCGCCGCCTATGGTCGCAGTCCCTCCATCGTCGTCGCTGTCGTCTTCGATCTCCCTCCTCCGCCGTTGTCACTCTGACACGCTGGTGCACGGCTCCGACTATACACACAGATCTGTGTGTATGTATATATGTATATATATATATACCTCCCTCTCTCTGGACAACTTTGAGGAATACCCACGTGTGCGAACGTTGGGTCTGTTACAAGTTGGGCCACGTACATCTATTCTTAATTGAATCCAGCTTGCTTCATTGCTTTACTAAAAGACCGTGCACCCACTCAATCTTTTTCTCTCTCTCTCTCCCTTTAAACCCTCTATTTTCCTTTCTTTTTCTTTTAATATTTACCTCCCTTTTTGTATTCGTTTTATGCTTCTTATCATCCTCCTCATCTTGTACCCCCTTTCTCTCTCTCATTTTTTCACTTTCCAATCCCCCGAGGCACATGCTTTCGCCATTAATCTATTCTTATTATTATTATTAAAATAAATAAATAAATAAATAAAAACCAAAAACCAACACAATTTACCAATCTGCACAACAACTCATATTTTATTCATCTCAGGGATCAACCCTGATCAAAAAAAAAAAAAAAAAAAAAAAAAAAAACTTACCTTCTTTTATTCATCTCAGGGATCAACCCTGATCGAACAAACAAACAAACAAACAAACCCACAAACAAACAAACCACCACAACACACCCACACCCACAGTGGGATTTTTCTTCTCTACTCTGCTGCAGGTCTCTTCTTCTTGCCTCCATCCTGGACGGCCCTTGCCGGTATTGCCTCCGTGTTTCCTACTCCACTGGGCACGATCACTACTCCCTGCTCCTCCACTGCAGCATATGGCGGACCTCCAAATCGAAACATAACGGTGGCCTTCTGCTTCAGCTCCTTATTTTCCGCCTTTAGCACACTTATCTCTGCTCGCGCATCCTTATACATGCGTTGGAGCAGAGCCAGCTGGGCGTTCAACTGCTGCACCTCATTTGTCCTACTCTGCAGCCGATGCGACAGGTTTGTGACCGCCGTCATGGTCTCCACACATGACTTCAAAGTATACTGATTGGCCTCAATATCCGTTTGCACCGCCATTTTTTGTTCCACCGACCGCATCGGAAAGTTCAACGGAGCAAAACCAGAGGCGCTTGGTTGAGGTTCACTGGCCACCGCACCAGTTATCTCTCTTGTTGACTCGTTGAGGTCGGGAAAGAGAGTGAGCAGACCACGGGACGAAGAGGCCATATTCTGGGTAGCTGAACGGGAAGACGAGGCCATGTTATGGGTTGCTGAGTGTTTCAGAGAAGGGTTGGTTACAGAGTGTTTACAAAGTGTTTCAAGATTTGCAACTCTTAGCGACAAGCTCTCAGAGAACGAAGAGGTTTCAACTGGTTTGTTATGCTTCCAAGCCTCAGCCTCCGCTTCGGTTTATAAAGACCATGATGAAGAGGCAGACACGCGCATAATGCGCCGCTCGGCGCTCGACGACAACATGGGCGCGCCTTTTGATGGCACGCCTTTTTATGGATTGGGCACGCCTCCTTTTGACAGATTGGGCACACCTTTTGAGGGTGCGACTTTTTAAGGGTCCGACAAGACTCTGTAAACTGTCCCGACATTGATTCCGGTTAGTTTCTACAAGGGTCCAGCAAGACTCCGTAAACTGTCACAACAACTGTCACCACATTGTCTGCTACAACGGTCCGACATGACCCCATAAACTGTCTTCTACATCGGTCTGACACAACCATCCAGTGTCCTCTACGACGTTATGACACAACCATACAGTGTCCTCTACCACGTTATGACACCACCATACAGAGTCTTCTACAACGGTCTGACACGACCATACAGTGTCTCCTATCCATTATTTATTTATTTTTTTTCAGATTATTTTCTTGTTTTGTTACTCTCTCCAAACTCAAGTTGGTTAGTTCCTATCCCCCTTGAGTTTGCGGGGGCTGTTAAAACCTACCATCACCTACTCCACCTACTACACCTACCACCACCTGCTACCACCTACTGCACACCTACCACTACCACCTACTACCACCTACTCCACTACATCTCCTATATAAGGAGCCCCTCACCATTTGTAATATACAACATACAACAATCAATAATACATCAATTTTGACAGCTTTGATAACCAGAAACCCTATCCTAGGTGGGGTCCTTTGGGCCCACCCCAGGAGTTTAAACCCAAGAATCAAACGACACCCTCCTAATCGTATGATTATATATTGTCTGTAACTCTTTAAGTGGAGACGAGTTGGATTTTATATTTGGTTTTTATGGATTTCAGTATCACGACTACCCTAATATTTTAGTTGTTTTGGTGTAAGTGGATATTGGATTGATGACAGACTATTATCTTGTAAAGTAAATATGTATTTCAGTATCTTTCTATGTTTAATTGTTTATGTTGTGTGTTCTCTAGGAAATTCTACACAACTGAATTTCTGAGCAAGTACTTTTATAAGTCAACTTGTTATGATAGTTTTGAATGACTCTAATCTGGATGCTTATAATGTTAATGTATACTAAGGTGGGTGTGTTCTTCAACCTTGTTCAAATTTTATCCTTTCCGCCCACCTATCTGTTATCAAATCTTATGATTCATGATTCATACATATCGATGCAATTTATGATTGAATTCATGAAACTGTCAGATCTAACAGATTCTGACCCTTTTTTGCAAAAAAATTTCTGCGGGGGGGTTGGGGTATGTGTGAAAATGTTATAATACAACTTCTAAAAGTATTTAGTACAAAATATCCAATACCTATGCATTATTTTTTGTTATTTTGATGATTTAATAGGATCCAATTAGATTCAGTCAAGCCTAAAAGTGGTTATGCTAGAAAACTATTGAATTGTTCATGAAAGTCGTTACTGAACATGAGAGCTAAGATATAGTGAACTTGCACATGTAAATGGTTAGTGGATACAGTTTCAGGGCATCAAAAGGCAACCACGTCAGAAAGTTGAGCTGTCACAACAAATTTCACTGAGGTTGTAGACAGTATTCATTACCTGCATGGGCTAAATAACCAAAAGAAATCTGCAGCCTTTGATGGAGAATTAGATGTACAATATGTATTGTGTGCATCAAGAATAACCTTTTACCTTGTTATCATATGATACATTAAAAGCTAAAAAGACCAAAGTTGGGGTGCGCAGCCATGCCATGTAATAGATAGGATGCATTACTTTGAAGATTGTTATAGATAGTCTTTGGTTCATCAGTATTGGTTGGACTCTATAATGATATAATATAATATAAGTAGTTCTTTTGTAGTCTATTTTGCATTAATTAAATTATTTTATTTTCTTGAATGAAAAAATATCTATATTTTCTATGCAGGAACATAGCTCAACTTGCAAAGGTAAAGATCATGAAAAAACATGGTGAATGGCAGGACCTCCACATATCTCACAGGTAAATTAATGGTTTATCTTTCTAATGTTCTGCAGTTGAAATTTGCTGCGCATGACTTTTGATACTGCTTGCTATTGTTCTTGCATTTTCTTTTCCCCCCGATCGTGTTTGAAGTTTATCTAGTTATCTTTGATGGGTTTTAGAATTGTAGTGTTCCTACTTGACACCTTTATTTTAGTCCTTTCCAAGTTTTCTTTGTTTTTTTTTAAAAAAATCTTTGTTACACCATATTGGACTTCTGGTATGTGGGTGCAGTAACTATTGAGAAGGGTTAGCTATAGTCCAAGATGAAAAGCTTGGATTAGCAACTTGAAATATAGGGTTGGATGGCTTACCCCATTGTTTGAGTTGGACCAGAAAGAGGCAATAAGGGTTTCGGTGTTTTAATCTGATGAGGAAAATAAACAATTTCGCGAGTGCTTCGAGTACCCATGAATGATAATCATGGCCTTCTTTTTTTTGATAAATAATAATCATGGGCTTCTTGTGTTAATCTCATTGTCAAATTGATTAATCAAAGATGGCAAAGGTTTGGGATTATGAGACAGATCTTACAGGGACAGCAAATAGTATGACTTGGTCTGGTCAACAACGTTCATCAAGCCTAAATTTAGCAAACAATCAGAAAAGAAGGCCTAAAGTTCACGTGGTCTGGTTCTTTTGTTTCTGCTGCAAAACAAGGAAAGTTGGTTTTTCACTTCTTTAGCACAAACTGTTAGTGTTAACTTTACTTTTGAGGACAAATAAAACATATTCAGTGTTCTCTATTGAAACTTGAAAGAGATAGTCACGAATTAAGATGCCATTTAATCTTTTCCTCAATCAGGAAAAGAGAAGTTCAATTTACATAAATTTAGGCTATATAAATGTGTGGAACATAGTTCTATTAGCTGCTCACATTTTGATAGTGATTATGTCTTATCAATTTTCTTGAGGCTCTACTTGTCACTGCAGTGAATAAAGAAAGCTTGATTTTTTTATTTTTTTTTATTGGATAAAGTACATTGACCATCATTGGGGTTTGGAGAAAATACGTAGAGCGCCATATGTTTGACATAATTACACTGATTTCTCTTATAATAAAAGCTTAATAAACAACTAGAACTAATGCATACGGTGTGTTGACATGTAGACACTGGGATAAACAAGGTAAAATCTATATTTTAATGTAAAAGAGATGACAACATCATATTCTTTATTCATATGACTAGTTAATTATTAATCAAGTTGTCCGAGGCGCCTAAGCGTGCGCCTTTTAAAACATTAGTCAATGCTATTGCTTTTCTCTTCCTTTTGGTCGGTAAGTAGCTCTAGCCCTGTTGAGGGGCAATATCTTCTATGTGGAATGAATTCCCCATTACATTTTTTAGTTTTTGAATCTAATTTGTGGACAGATGATATACTATGATTTATTTTTCTAACGATTTCCCGTTAACATACAGTATCAGGTCCATTGTATGCCTTAACTTGCCTAGTTTTTCTGGTGGACTAAATCCTTGGGGAACACCAAATGTAAAGAAAAAACGTGATGTTAGTACTCTCTTTTATTTTTCCTTTCTTTTTTATTTGGGGCTGGGGGACGGGGCAGTTTACTAATGTTGTTTCAGTAACTAAATATAATTTTTTTTTTATATTTTTTTTCACATCTCTAATGAATGTAACTTGTTGAAACATGGCATATAGAGAGACTTGACTCCACCATTTGTAGATGATGGCCTCATTGAGGTTGTTGGTTTTAGAGATGCTTGGCATGGGCTTGTTTTGCTTGCTCCAAAAGGACATGGGACTCGTCTTGCCCAGGTTAGGAATGAAACTCCAATTGATGATAATTTCCGTATTGTTTTAAAGGAATCTCTTCAGAGTTGATACAAACATGTATGTAACTTTGGATGAGTTAATGTAGTGCTAAATGATTGTGGCATGGCCGTTATATGCAACTACAATTATAAATCCAAGGCATCTGTTCAAAAAAAAAAAAAAATAAACTATATAAATCTGAGACAGGAAGAGGTAATATATGCCTTGATGACATATCAAACAATTTGTGGTAGGAAATGCCCGACTTTAGTCAGAAACATGAATATTGTATGCTTTTACTCTCTGCCATCAATTATGTTAAAAAATTAGGTAGTTGTTTTTAACATGGACATTGTTTAGAAGAGAGGGCTCAAAGAAGCCACTATCCGTTTTGGATGCATGTCGCATGAATTCCTGTTAATAAAGTGAAAACGCGGCAGATTTGGCAGTGATATCGTGTGCTAATTCGTTAATGCTCTCTAAACATTTACATTACCCTATGATGGTTTTTTTTTTCCTTCTTCTCGCATGTAGGCACACCGGATCCGATTCGAATTTCACAAGGGTGCAACTGACCACACATTTATGAGGATTGATGGGGAACCTTGGAAGCAACCCCTTCCAGTTGATGACGACACTGTTGTGGTAGAAATCTCTCATCTTGGCCAGGTGAAAATGCTTGCCACCCATGACTGCAGATCCAAAAGTGTACATGATCCAACAACACCTACCAATCATGATTCCGACGAAGAGGATAGTGGTGAAGAAGGGGAAGAGCGGAGGAAGTTTGGGGCGGCAGACACATTCAAGATCCCAGATGAGGTCGACATTTCTCAGCTCAGTTAAGCCAATCGTAATCATTGATTTGGTATTTGTCAATTTGTCAGACAGTTATATTGATTTGTCGGATTTTGAGTCTCAATCACAATTCAACTTTCTATAATTTCTGTTCCAGCTGTAATTTAAAGTTCTATGGAATGACCTCATGATTGGCTTGGATCAATTTCATTAAAATTCTAAATAATGTAGTTGTAAATAATAAACAGTACAGATAAAAGCTCGTTTCTGGTTTACGCCTTAATTACATCTGTCCCAAACATGTCGCATAACAGGTATGGCATTTATTGGATTTTTAGGGCATTTTGAGTTAAAAGAGTTGAAAGTAGATTTTCTATGGAAAAGTAAATTGGATGATTTGTTGTGCCCGTGAGTGTTATGCAAAACCTCATATTTGTAGGTTGTAGTGATGGTCTTCCAGCTCTGGAAAGTATGCAGCTTTGAGGTGGCCGTGGTGCTGCGTGTTAAACCACTAGTTGGAAAAGTTTGCATCATTTCAAGCATATGCGTGAAGTTTATATTTTATTTTTATTTTTTTTGTAAGCTTAAAGCAGTCTTACCAGCTGGAAGTGTACGTGGATGCCAATTTAACCAGGAAACATGAGAGAGAGAGAATCTGGCTATGATCATTGTACATAGTTTAAGTAATTTAAAACATGGAATTTTGGACAATTTATACTGGTCAGCAGGATCCAAAATAGTAAAACTGAATGAAAGCCACATTTGCTGCAAGTAATCTCAGCCTTGGAAGTTTCAACTCTACCTCAAAATAAACAAGAAATTATGGGATTGATGCTTGATGGGAAGGGGAGTTTTCAGCTGTGACCACAATATAAGCTTTTGCCCTAAAGATCTGCATATTGGTAGTCCGCCAAGCATTTTGTAACTGCCTCATTAGCCTTTTGAGATTGTTCCCTTTCCGCCATTTTCTTCTTCTCCCTGAAAGCCAAAACAGTACTTACTCAAGAGTTACATGGGGAAACTATTCTCGCACGAGCAACATGTAAGAAATAAAAGGTATAACAATTCCTTGATGATCATCGAAGCGAATTAAAGTGGATTCCATGAAATATACACATCATTGATGTTTGGGCTACTTAAAAAGGCCAGGCTAATCCGGAATTAAAGTGAATGGTTTTAAGTTGAGTGGCCATTCATTTTGGAAAAGAAAAGATATTTGATTCAAGTTGGCTGGTATAAGAAAACACAAGATGGTAAGAGCATCTTCAATGTTTTACTTTTTTTTCTCCATCAAATTTGAGTAAAAGTTTCATCTGATATCACGTGTTCTAATAGAGCAATCTGGTATTTCATCAAACTACAAATCGATTGGGAAGACGACCGGGGATGTCTGGTTGGTCAACCGACCAGTGTAATTTTTTCAGCTTTTAAAATAGATTTTTGCAAGGAGGTGGTCGACCAGAGGGACAATTGGCCGGACATCTGGCCGATTGTCCTGTAATGGTGTATGCTCTGCATCTCCAACGACTATGTATAGTAAATTGATGAAAGGCACAACCATCCTTAATTTGATGAAAAGTTTAAAATATCCTAGATTTGATACTGGTTTGGTGTAAGAGTTGGAGCAACAAAAGTCTACTAAAAGGTGTAGCATTGGAGATGGTCTAATATGAGAGTGACTAACAAAATCATAATGATATCAATGAATACGCAATCAGGAAGGCGTATGCATTCAAAATTTAACACCATTGCTGGGTTTCAACTTTCAAGTGTGCATAAGAGCAAGAAAAAACTGTTTCTGAATATCAAGGGGCTGTCATGAGCATCACTAAAAACAGACAATCATGCGACAACAGATCTCCAGATTCTGTTGTGTTTAATCTAAGTTCTTGTCCCGGAGTTTTTTCACTCTCTCTCTCTCTTCCCCTTTTTGTTTTCTCCACTTTTTGGTGCCAGAGACAGATTGTTTTTACTATATTATGGCCTTCAGCAAATAAGTTCAAAAATTAAAGCATGCTTGGAGAGAGAGACTGAATTTGGAATTGGCAGGGAATGAAATCACCTGTCAACATATTCCTTGAGTAGTTCTTTTGCTTGAACCAGCTTAGACAGCAGATTGCGGTATACATCAAGGTCCCGATCTACACTTCTCTTGTTTATGTTTAATGCAGCACAAAGCTGTTACATACCAACGAAAATGGTCAAAATGATGGAACTGACAAAATGAAATTTATGAAACCAAGTGCATTTGAACTTTTGTCACTTTAGTGATTTGGACAAACGCCTACACAAGTTTATACTAAAAATGTTGTCACGACTGTAAATGATAGATGATATTTTGCACAACACACAAGTTGTAGTAATTAAATAAGCCAGAATGCTTAAACGTATGAACAAAAAATGGTGAACATGACCATTAGTTTCATTCCAGTCAAATTACCAGACTGTTCCGGCTCATTTCAGCAATTCGAGAATGTTCTGACCATACTGTTAGCTCCAACCCCATGCATGCAAGCAGAGAGTCAAGGAGGATGGCGTACGAGCACTTCTACCCCAAGTGAAAGTCTGAGCTGGGCATCTGCAAGACTCTCACTTCTCTTCACGTGCTTGCCATTAATGACTCACCATTAAGAAGGTAGAAATTTTGGTGGGTTTGCCTCCCTCTCCCTCACTCTCTTTGTGTATAAATAGAGACGGGAAGGAGAGGGTGAATTGAATAAAAAATTTGAGAGACAGAGAGCTGTGGGTTGAGTGTGAGTAGTTCTCCTCCTCTGATTTGTATTTGCTCTGTTTTAGTGAAATTCTTGTTTCTGTCCGTGGACGTAGGCATTGGGCCGAACCACGTAAATATTGGTGTCTCAGTTGTGTGTGATTGCTTGTTGTTTATCTTTCTGGGCGTCCATGGTCCTAACACATACCAGCCACTAATACTGGTTTCTTTCTGGTACAACAAAATTCATAAAATTCCTCCAGAGCCAGTGCTCAGTTCAAACACAACATTAATGTTTTTTGCTAAACACAGTACTTACGCCTCGTTTGGGAACAGGCTAATTTAGTAACTTTTTGGATATTTGGCTAAAATATGAGCTAAAAAAATTAGTATATTTGGGATGACTTTTTGGCTTTTTACGAAAAGATTGCAAAAAGTAGAGAGAAGAGAATCTTTAACTTTTTGGTATGGATTGTTGGCTTTTTGGCTAATTTAGTAACTTTTTGACTAAAAAGGAGGTTTCCCAAACGAGGCTAGCATTCAAGAATAATACCTCACAAATTAAGGCTACAAGGAGTGATAGAGAAACTTAGTTCAAACAATGAATCTGAAAAGGATTGTGATAGGCTGACAGCAACAACTTGACTGAGAAAACTCAAGTAAGAATGGTATCAGTGTCAGTCAACAATGATCACACTGTTAGTATCTTAATGGCTATGAAGGCAGTGAACCATAAATACAAACAAAGAATTTGCTCAAGCATTTCAGCAGTAAGTAGAGCTGAGACAAAGACAAACAGTCCATGGTTTTATCTTTTACTTTTGGCAGGAAAATTACAATAATACTGCAGAGAGTAAAGGAAAGCTTACTTGTTCTAAAATTGTGGGTTCAGAAGCATTTGCCAGCTCAAGAAGCCGAAACAGCCCAATAGCAAAGAAACGACTGTAGCTGAAACTCCCCTCACCCCCAGCTCTCGCTGCAATATCTTTCAGAAGACCTTCAACTTCCCCTTCGCTTGATGAAAAATTAATTAATGAGCTAGCATTTTGTGCACGGGCCCATTCCTCCAACTTTTTTGCATCGTTTCTGTAGTGCACAAAGAAATACAACCATTCAGTCTAGTGAATAAAATATTTTTAAGGTAATTATTCATTTAAAGTGGTAAATTAGATTCAGAATTTGAAAATATGGATTACCAATAGTTTTCTCCCTACATTCAATGAACTAAACAGAAAACAAAGAATTTGTCACAATAAATGTATAATGTTTGATATATTGGTCAGTTAACTTATAGGTATTCAGTTTCTCCATTATTTGCACCAAGGACTGAACTGAGATGGTCAGTTTTTCAACTAATGCTTGATATATTCAAATCGTTTTAGTTGAAACTCATATCGAATCATATATATCAAATCTTAACACTATGACTCAGATTTATCTAATTCTCATGTTAAGGACACCCGAATATAGCTAGATTTCATATCTCCTAAATAATTCTTCTACTTTTTATGGATGAAATAATGATTACAAACTAAAATAGAGCCATCTATGCATAAAATGGAAGTATTATGCATAGTTATACAGTAATACACTTATCGGGTTACATGTCCAATTCGGTATATCAGACACATATCTCATACTCATGTGACAAGTGTTTGACACAGGTATTTCACAAATATAGAAGATTTCATGTAACATAGCTTCCTACTTAAGTTTGGTTCAAGAGAAAAAAAAATACAGACCTGTATTGATCAGGGTCCTCCTTTAATGCATTGATATATGCCTGGAAGATGGCCTCTCGATCTTCATCACTTGGGTAGCCTTCCATAAGTTGATCAAACACGGTAACAAAACCAAGGGCAAAGACAGCATCATAACGATGCGTCCTCTTGTACCTCATCAGATGCTGCTGGACAATCAGCTCCTGCAGCACAGTGTTGTAGATACTCGGAATTGGTCGTTTATAAGCCATCAAGAAATTCAACTTTGTTTCAGAAACAGTGGGCATATCTGAAACAAAGTAAATAAAAATGCATCATAACAACATAAAGAACAAATTAACTAACATCCTTCCAACAATCATTGTCTGACAGATGATAAGCATAGTCATGCACTCCAGTTGGATTGGATCGGATCTAAGACTATCTAAAATACCGCCCGATCTGTTAAAACCGCCCAAATCCGCACCGATCCATATGCTAACTACGGATTAAATTTTAAAATTTATAATTTGCCTTTGAAATCGCTCCGTTTCACTATAGTTAAATACATAAAAAATTTTAATCCTCTAATGAAATATCAAAATAAAAATGAGTGCGAGAGAAATTTAAGATGTGAAATTTATTGTAAATTAGTATGTAAAATTAGTTTGTATTATATATATGAAAAATATTATGCAAATTAATATTATATATTATGCAAATGTTTGATAATTGTTTAAGAATATTTTTCAATCAACTAACAAATTGAAACCACCCCAAACCACTCAAACCGTAGTTTGGTTATTTGTCAATCCGTCTGTAAAATAAACTGATGTATATTATTGATCACATCCAACCCATAATCATTACACTCTTCTCTCACAAAAAAAGTCAAAAAAGTCAAAAAGCCAAAAAGCCCTTCCCAAACCAAGCTTTTTAGCCCAGGCTAAAATAGTCAAAAAAACCAAAAAGCCAAAAAGCCAACCCACTTCCCAAACGGAGGCTAACTAACATCCTTCCAACAATCATTGTCTCACAGATGATAAGCATAGTCATGCACTCCAGTTGGATTGGATCGGATCTAAGACTATCTAAAATACCGCCCAATCTGTTAAAACCGCCCAAATCCGCACCGATCCATATGCTAACTACAGATTAAATTTTAAAATTTATAATTTGCCTTTGAAATCGCTCTGTTTCACTATAGTTAAATACATAAAAAATTTTAATCCTCTAATGAAATATCAAAATAAAAATGAGTGTGAGAGAAATTTAAGATGTGAAATTTATTGTAAATTAGTAGGTAAAATTAGTTTGTATTATATATATGAAAAATATTATGCAAATTAGTATTATATATTATGCAAATGTTTGATAATTGTTTAAGAATATTTTTTAATCAACTAACAAATTAAAACCACCCCAAACCACTCAAACCGCAGTTTGGTTATTTGTCAATCCGTCATTCACGATTTAGTTTATAATTTAATCTCAAACCATCCGAACAGACACCCCTAATTGGATCTGTGCGATTCAAATTACAACTGAGCATAGTTATGCATATATACAAGTGAATTATCTGAAGTAGAAAAAATCCATATATGATCCTGGCTGGAGAATTAAATAGCGATATTAAATCATTGGAAAATAAAATTCTTTATATTCTAGATATCCAAACGCATGTCAATATCGAAAATTACCAGCTGCGTTGTTTTCAAGCCATCCAAATTTATGAAAAAACGTATAATCTAGTAGTGAGTTTAAAAAAAATTGCTGTAATACAAATGTACAACCAAGCTTAAACCCGTTTGTTCATTGAGAAAATAGAAGGAAAGAGAAGACAACCAAAAATTAAGTTCAATGTTTTCTACTTTCTATTTTGACGTACATTTGTCTTTGGAGCATTGTTTTGAAAACCGGACCGGTGAGCGAACCGGAAAAGGGACCGGGTGGATGGGTCACTGGTTCAACCGTCGGGTCGAAGCGGTCGAGGTTGAGGTCCGGCGGGCGGCCAAGGCGAGATTGCCGCCCGCCGGGGAAGCGAAACTATTAGGTTCTAAACCTGCTCTGATACCATGTAAAATAAACTGATGTATATTATTGATTGATTGATTACAAGATTGTTGTGTTTCTGTATTGTATATGATTACAAAGAGATGAACTCTCTCTATATAGAGAGAAATGGTGCATTGGATACCAAACCCACCACCACCGAAAGTGAAAGCTAAAAGAATAAAGCTTAAAGCTAAAGTGTGTAAAGCTATAATTAACAACTATATACAAGTAATAAGTATATACTAACACCGTCGTTCACGATTTAGTTTATAATTTTAATCTCAAACCATCCAAACAGACACCCCTAGTTGGATCTGTGCAATTCAAATTACAACTGAGCATAGTTATGCATATATACAAGTGAATTATCTGAAGTAGAAAAAATCCATATATGATCCTGGCTGGAGAATTAAATAGAGATATTAAATCATTGGAAAATAAAATTCTTTATATTCTAGATATCCAAATGCATGTCAATATCGAAAATTACCAGCTGCGTTGTTTTCAAGCCATCCAAATTTATGAAAAAACGTATAATCTAGTTGAGTTTAAAAAAAATTGCTGTAATACAAATGTACAACCAAGCTTAAAACCGTTTGTTCATTGAGAAAATAGAAGGAAAGAGAAGACAACCAAAAATTAAGTTCAATGTTTTCTACTTTCTATTTTGCCGTACATTTGTCTTTTGAGTAAATAATAAATAGACCCTAATAGTTAATAGTTAGACTTAAATATGAAATCTTATTAAAAATAAATTTTAATAAAATCGTTGCTTAAAATAACATTTTGTGATAATTTTTTTGTCATAATTTTTATAAATTATCACTAAAACATACAATTAGTAACGTTTTTTTATAATGAATTTTTTAAACTGTCTCTAAAAATAAAAATTAGGGACTTTTGTGTGTTAATTATTTTAAACTGCCACTAAAATTTATAATTTATAATTAGTGACATTTGTTGTAATAAATTTTTTTAACATGTCACTAAAATTAATAATTAATGACGTTTTATAATATTGTTTGATAAAACATATAACATATTAGACAATGGCTTATTTTGGGAAGTTGGCTTTTAGTAACTTTTTTTGGTTTTTTGTAGCAAAAGTCAAAAGTTGGCTTTTTTGAATTTTTTTTCATTTGGGAAGGTGGTTTTTAGCCAAAGGTGAAATTACAATTTTATCCCTCATGAGTCAAAATAGGCTACATGGGTGTAGTTGTAATATTTTAAACTAAATAGGGATAGTTTGGTCATTTGATTATGATTTGACATCATAAACAAATATTAATCAAAAAAGCCAAAAGTCACTTTTTATCAACTTCTCAAATCATTTGTCTAAAAAACCAAAAAAACTTGGTTAAAAATTAAAAAATTACTTTTTACCATCTTCCCAAAATATGCCAATATAGACCTACATTTAAGTTCTCTCTGTTTTTTTTTTTTTTTTTTTTTGTTTGTTTTTTGGTTTTTCACTGGTGTCCAGACTAGCTTAACGTGCATCCCGGCAAACTTCGCTTGCGGTGAGATCCTGCCGTTGGCAATGAAGTGTTGCAGTTATGGGACTTGAACGGGAGAGCAAACTCGGTTAAACCCAGAGCCTTACCCAGAAATGGACAAACCACTAGCCACAAGCTCGTGATTTTGCCGTACATTTTTCTTAGCAACCAAACAGAGGATACGAAATGTGAAAGGTACTCAATTAAAGTACAGAGAATTACCTGATACTGTAGACATGGACTTAATAACCATTCGGGAAGTGGAATTCGAACTTCGAACGCCGAAATACTCGCAAGAAAAATTTGTACGAACTCGAAAACTGTCGAAATTGGAAGCGAAAGAACGAGTAGAAGGAACAGAGACTTTCTCCGAAGAATGACCTGAAGCAGAGAAATGTAGAGAAGAAGTAAGTGCCGCCATGATGGAAACAAAGAAAAGACAGATAAAGTTGAAATCAGAATAGGTTTAAATTGGGAAGTGATTAGCGCAAGAGAGGTCAGAATCGAGGCTTATCCGGTGAACAGAAGATTTCGTAATCTTAACATTTAGCCAGTATGAATGTGACGCGTGGAAGTATTTGAAGCTGACCGTACTCTCATTTGTTAAGATCCTCGTTTTGTTTGTTTCTATTTTCTTTTGTCGTTTTTTGGGATAATTTTGTGTGTATAACTCTGCCGACGTTGTGGATGTCATTATTTGGCAATTGTATTTTTAATAATTTTTTTTTTTAGTAAGTTTTTAATTTTTTTTGACTTTTTAGTCATGATAGACTAGATGATAAAAATAAGTAAACAAATTTGAAAAATCATTAAAGATGATTTTTTTTTTGTTTTTTTGAAAAAAATCTTTTAAATCATTCTAAACTAGAAGCACGTGAAAAAAGTTTTTTTTTTAAAAAAATTGACACAATTTTTTATTTAAAAAAAAAATCTCTAAACAAAATAGTTAAAAAAAAGAAAAATTATCCAAAAATCTCGTATCAGCATTAGCAACCCCATTTAGTCCTACCAATTAACACATATACTGATAGATCCCATAGGTGATAACATTATCACTACTAGGTCCTATTTTGATTTATATTTTGATATTATGGTCGCTTTTACCTCTTCTTTTACTGAGTCACACAAAATTACAAATAGAGTAGCACGTTGGCTGCATACGGTGGAGACCAAACATCTTCATATTACAAGCATTTTTTATTCCCCACCCCCCAACCCCCATATGAGTTCACACACAACACCCACTTCCTACAAAGAAACCCCACCAATGGAACCCCATCAATGGACACATACTGATACACAAAAATATCCACAGACCCATTGCGACAACAACCCATATTGACACACAATCCATTAATCGTGAACCACAAACATTACACAGGTACACAGTACATGCACACACACACAAATGGCACATACCACATCTGCAATCAAACCCCCATCCAATTACTTGCAAAACAAAATAACATAACGTAACAACACTGAGCCATTGCCACCGTTGCAGTCCGTCCGCACGTCGACTTCTCCACCAACACAACGTAAACACACTGACCACAGTTTCAACAACCCTACCTTGTGACACCAACACACAACTTCAGAAAAATGACGACCAACTCACACGCCACCAAACGAAACCCTACCGTATATCTCTGAAATCCTAATCAATATCCACCACAAACACCCAATTACAATAACATGAAAATGGCAACACCAAAAATCTGGGGATTAAGCGACACTGTAGCTTGATTTGGGGATTTTCATATCGTAACACGTGGGCCAAAACAGCCGAGTCGGGTTTCAACCGGTGTGACGTCACACCGTCTCACAAATACAACACAACAAAAACTACTATAGAGCATTTTCCCAATGTGACGCCCAAACACACCTCACTCTAAAAGTCAATCTAATTGTCTTTACATCGTCATACGACTACAACAAAAGAAAAACTACTATAGGGCTTTTTGCCATCGTGACACCCAAATCAAACCCCATGCCACAAATTCATACAAAACGTCTTCACACATAACCCAACAAATGAGGGCATTTCAGGAAGTTACACATACCGCAGGACTAAACGGAGTAATAAAAATATTTAAGGACAAATTGCACCAACATTTCACATTACGGATTTATCAATAACTCTCCCTTAAAAAAATATGACTTATTTATTTATTTATTTATTTTTGCCATATAGATCTTTTACAGAATAAAAAATCGCTTAAAATTTAATTCTCAAAATATCACTTTTACACTTACTTTCTAAATTAATGTTAAATCGTATTTAAAATTTCATTTAGCTATAGTTAAAAAGTCAATTTATTGATTAAAAAAAATCACTTTACTAACTAGAACTTAGCTCATTTGACGGTGGTATTTGGCAAGTTGGTTTGTGGCTAAAATAGTCACAAAAGACAAAATAGACTATTTTAGCCACAACAAACAAAGTATCACATTCAATCCATAATCATTACACTCTTTTCTCACAAAAAAAAGTCAGAAAAGCCAAAAAAATCTTTCTCAAACCAAGCTTTTTAGCCCAGACTAAAATAGCTAAAAAAGCCAAAAAGTGAAAAAGTCAATCCACTTTCCAAACGGAGGCTAAAACTTCAAAAAATCACCCTTCTTGAATGCCATGTAGTTTTTCATAAAATTTGATCCACTTATGAATAAATGATTTTTTTAGTATTATTATTTTATCATCTTTGCTACTACTTTTCTATAAGATTCTCAAACTCAGCTAGAAGCCTATTCTTTGCAAGTTAAAACTAGACAAAAGCAAATGCAAAGTATGAATAAAAAGCACCAAACATTCAATATTTCTTCAAAGAATTAAAAAAATTGGATTTCTATTGAAAAAATGCCAGTAAACATGAAAAACAACCCATAAAAAAAGGCAGTTTAAAAGAAATTGCATGCCAAACTATTCTATCAGTGGATAATAATCAAGAACACTACTTCCACAAAATGTGTAGAGAATTTATACAATAAGCCCTTGTTAAATAAAACTGCATACTAACATTTCCACATGACATCTCCAAAAACATATCTTTTGGCTCTAAAATAAATTTCTTACTTGTATCTCTCCATAAAAAGGAGGTAGAAAAAGAGACTGAAATATGAAATAATTTCTTTTGTGAAGAGACTGACTGCTTTTTAGGATTCCTTAACTTATTCCTTCACCATATATTCTCCTTAACATTCATGTGGAATCATTTGCACATTTAAAGTGCGTGGAATCAAATTAAACACAATCAAAACCATGGTAGGCTTTGCTGACTCACTTACTTTAGTTAATTACAAGTGTTCTTTCCTCACTTATTTTATTCATAATACCTTCAAACCCTTCCTTTGACTGATGAAGCATCAAAGCTTTTTCTAACAGACACAACATGTGCAAAAAGTTTTAAGTTTCTATCAATCCAACTTATTTACCATGCTAGTTTATTTTACACTTGCAAATATTAAGTCAGTGTGTTAGCAAAAATCTAGTTTGGATCAAATCACCAGGGAAAAGTCGATAGAGAAAACCAATTTTCACAAACAACTTAATCAAACAATATAATTGGTGTCCTATACCTTGATAGATTCAAGGACTTCTTTGGAGGTTGTCATATGTAGAAATAAGTGCAAACAAACTGAAATTCGATTAAATAACACTTAAACATGTCACTTAATTACAAAAATTAAATTACAAGTTCAAATAATATCACAATCGACAGGGCCAAACTGGAACTAAATTATAGATTAATTACTCTTAAGTTAAAATAGACTACTCCTAGATTTCACATGAATTGTGAATTTGGTTGAAGGTGCTTCTCTTGTATCTCCCTTGGCCTTTTATAGGCATACTTTCAAACGAAAATTGCCCAAAATAGTTCTTCAAAATAGTTATTCAATAAATGAAAAACCAACCCATAGTCCCTTGAATCAATCCACATTCTTAGCATAAAGTCACACGTGTTCATCTTTCAACTTGTTACCAAGGAGTGCCTCCCTATGTTCCACTTTTCTTTCCTTGGTGCTATGACCCACTATGTTTTGAATCACCTCCTTCAGTTTCCAAGCCCCACGTTGTTCTAGAACCATGATGCTATGATCCACGTTGTCATTTTCCTCCTGCGTAAGCTTAGGAACACTACTAGCAATAATAATAATAATAATAATATAATTATGGTCATAGTAAATTTTTGAAGATGGTCATGATTAGAATCGACAAACCAAAATTGACAGGTCACAATCAATGAAGTTAGATTTGACCATAATTGACAAGCTATAATCAATTAAACGAGACTTGGTCATAATCAAGAAGCCATAATTGACAAATAATTATTTTTTGGTGTCAACAATGCCCCACTCATTTAAGGTAAAAGTAAATTTTGCCTCAAATGAAATAAATGACAAAAATTTGAGCCAACTAAAATGACATGTTTTAACCATTGTTGTTTTTCAAACTGTATCATAAAGATTAACTTCTGGTGTGATCCACACATCCACAATGGATGTTAGATTTCAAAATTCAAATAGTTAAATGCTATGAAAAAATCATAAAATTTTGGCACGTTGAACAATGTCAAAAAATTCACATTCAACAGACGAGGGTTCATAATTTTCAGCCACTTTTGGTCTAAAATCATGCCCCCAACCTTCATAATTTTTAGCCATCTTTGACTTAAAATTATGCTCCCCAAGTAAATCTTCACTATCATTTTATGACGGTTTTTCATCATTTTTTGTCAAAATGGACTATTTTTCTTTTTTAGCCATTAACAACTTGTCACTCTTTGCCATGTTTGGCAAAAAATATGCCCCCAAAGTGTATTTTCACTATTATTTTGTAATGGATTTTTAACATCTTTTGAGAGAAGGGACTATTTTTCTATTTTAGCCACTATTGGCTTATGAAAAGAAAGCAGCTTGCCTCCAGTCCGAGATCGGATTGGACGGTGCTATTGGGCCCATGGGGGCCCACCACGGGTCCTGTTTCGATAAACTAAGTCGTTTAATGTGTGGAACTCATCGAGTACTATATGCCTGTAAAAACTTACATTGATCGGATATCGATAGCTATGTCATTTGATCAATTTTCTGTCAGCCGTTAATTTGTTCACCGTGTATTTTTGTTTATACAAAACTGAGTTGATCACATAGCTATCAATATCCGATCAACGTGATTTTTTACAAGCATATAGTAATCGATGATATCTACACATTGAACGGTTTAGATTATCAAAATGGGACCCATGGTGGGCCCTCACGGGCCCAACAGCACTGTTCAGTCCAATCTCGGACTAGAGGCAAGCTGCTCCCTATGAAAATCCTCCAAAATCATGTTATCTTCATGACTTAGTGTACTAACCCTTTGAGTCACATACCCTAGCTTTTCATGAATAATTGAATCCTTAGGAATATGGGTATTAGCCTCCCAAGCCACATTATTTTCATGCCTTAATTTTTTCTTAGCCATTAAGCCTTATAGATTAGACTC